TGGTGGTGAACAGAGTGGCCCTCATTTAACCACAATCCTACAAAGCAGGGAGGTTGTGGGAGGTCGGTTTCTGAGGTAAGGTGAGAGTAAAGGATAGTAAATATGGGTAGTGTGTGAGAGAATAGAGTTAACCACTACAGTAATAGAGTTCAGGAAACTTTTAAATGGGGTAAGATCGGCGGGGGGGGCGGGGGGGGGAGTGTTGTGAAGTATTTACAATTGCATGGAACAGCAGTTATTTACAATAATATTATGACAACAATCATATGACAGAATCTATGAGATCTAGGCAACAAGAATAGGGAGTACAGAACCTCGAGTAGTGTGCTAATGGGACACAGGTGAGTTAAAGGACAGTAGATTAGCAATACAGTATGGAAAGAGATATCAGGGGAAAGCTGTCAGGTCATACAATATATCCAGCCTAGCAAAGCAGACTATACAAAAAGAAGAGGGATACAAAAATACTATTAAAAAAAAGATGTAGGAATACTGGAAAAATAATAATAATACAAATATGCAACAACTTGCAGGTTCTCTGTAGTAGCAGAGTGAAATCTGTCTCACTGTCCCAGCTGTTGTGATGCCCCTTCTTTGGGTTCAACTTTGGTCTTTTCACAGATTCAGGATTTTGTTTCACTTGTAGGTATTTAGAAAAAATTGTAAAAAGTAAAAATACAAAAGGCAGACAAAGGAAGGAAAAAGAGATAAAATTGGAGGAAAGGAAGGAAGAAGGAATAAAACAAGAAATCAGGAAAGAGAGGAAAAAGAAATCAAAAGAGAATAAAAATTAAAAAATTAAAAATTGTTAAAAAAATAGGATCAAATTAAAAAGTCTCTTGGTTTCAAAGTGGCCAAACCAGTTTTTCTGCTCTTGCTAGCTGCAGCAGGTTGAGGGGTGATTGGTATGGCTTTTCTTCCTCAGTCAGCAGGTCAGAGGAGCTTGCACTGGCTCCCTCACAAGAAGCTAGCGTGGCTCCTCACCCTTGCACCCTGACTGTGGGAATCAGGTCTTTCCCCAGGGTTACTGCTATGGACTGGGGTGCGGGGATGTTCTCCCTACACACGCACCCGCACACCCACGGCTGGGTGGCAGGGAGGCTTGAGTGACTGACCACTTTAGGAGAATTCCCTAAAGAGTGTCTGTCTATTCACTCCTTCCTCTTGAGAAATTCCTCCTGTTCAAGCCTGCCTCTCTGCACAATGGACTGTCTTCTCCCTCATCCCATCTCTCCAGCCAGACCCATGACTGTGAGGGTCAGGGCCTGCTGCACAACCCAGCCCCTCCAGTGTCCACAGCCTCCAAAGGTGCTCACAGCCCTTGTGTGTTTGCTACCACCTGGATTCCTCCCAGTGCCACTCAGACCTTATTTGGCTGGGGAGGGAACAGTTGTCCCAGCTCTCTCCCAAGGACTCTGTGGCAAACCCAGCAGCAGGCCCTGGGCCTGGGGCTGCAGTCCCTGGACCACACGCTGGTCCCCAGGACCCTACCTTGTTGCAGCACTGTTCTTAGGGTCTGGTTTTTCAGTTCCACCACAATCCTTGGTCACCTATTTTCACATATGCTGGAGTATGTTGGTTGCTTGCTTCTCTACTCCAAAGATCAGTCAAGATTTTCTCCCCTGAGCAGAGGGAAGCCAAATCTGCTCCTTCCTACTCCAACGCCATCTTAGCCCCTCTCCGTAAATTATCTTTAAATATTAATCTCCAAGTCTCAAAGAGGCTTGTGGTAAATGGGAACACACAATAAATTTCATCTGTTGCCATCTACAGCCTAAGATTCTTGTTTGTATTATGTCTTTGAGGGTCCTGACAATCACCTCAAGAGGGTGACTAGGAGGGAAAACTTAATGACAGGAATATTTTTAAATGTATATGCAGAATCAAGGGAAACCTATAAGAGAAAGGGAAGCACTATGGGGATAACAACAGCCAGAGGCTTCATCAGTTCTTGGCCTGAAGGGACAGGGAAGAAAGAAATTACCCTAGTCTGAGGACACCTGTAACTGAGGGAAAACACCACTCAATAGGACCTGTGGACTTCAGTACAGCAAAGAAAGTATATTCGAATATAAATATCCAAATTACTCTCTCCTTCAGATGCCTCCCAAACCCAATCAGAAGTAAAAGAACAAGAAACACCATTCAGTGTAGTGCATAGAAGTCAGCTTCCTGGGCATAGAGAGTGATGGAGAATAGATCTGGAGAGGAAAACAGAACATCCAGCCCTCTGACATCAGGGGGTACTGCTGCCCTACTTTACAGACAAAGATGGATATATGTCCTAAATGTATGTATGACCATAGCTATACTGCATCCTGATCAATGTACAAAGACAAATAAGTCAAAGTTAAATAATTTAATATAGTAGAGTAATGAGTAGTTCAATATAGGCAATTGCTCAGTCTCTGCTTCTTTGGTTCTCTGATACAGTAGTGCACACACATATACAAAATTTACATCTAGAAGTATAAATGCCTCAGATATAGGTTGTCCTCAACCACTTAATAATCCCAAAAGACACAAGTGAACCAAATCTTTAGGAGACTTAAATTTTTAATTGTGCACTAGAAATGACTGTTTATTGGTCTCCCCAAAGGGTACTATGGAAGAACTCAGCATATTTATTAAGTGAGCTCAATGTTACAAGGAGGATAGTTTTCCTCTGCATTTATATTATGGTTAGAACTTACGGGTATTTATTTGCAATGGCAGGACTAATATAGAACCCCTCTTCTCCTTCTTGGAAAGTAGAAAAGTTTAATCTTCCAGTTAGCTTCCAGTCAAGGAAATGCTCCTTAACTGTTGAGGAGGTAGGAAAGGATTCAGAGATCTTCATATAATATACTGCACACACAAAGGATTCCCAGGGCATTGACTGAGCTTTCAGAATTGAATAACATAGCCTCAATAGCTATCCTCCTTATGTGCTTTGATTACGACATAAATGAAGAAATTATTCATCAAATGCCTACTGTGGGCAAATGTTAATCTCTTTACATTTTTGACACATTTATTCTTCCTAACATTCCACATTTTAGAGATAAGGATATGGAGGTTAGGAAAATTACATAATTTAGCCATGGCTGGCATAGCTCAGTGGATCGAGCGCGGGCTGCAAACCAAAGCATCACATGTTCGATTCTCAGTCAGGGCACATGCCTGGGTTGCAGGCCATGGCCCCCAGCAACCACACATTGATGTTTCTCTCTCTCTCTCTCTTTCTCCCTCCCTTCTCTCTCTAAAAATAAATGAATAAAATCTTTTTTTAATCTTAAAAAAAAGAAAATTACATAATTTATTCATTATCCCTAAAGAAATACAGCATAGATTTTAACTCATATTTTTCCTTTTTTTAATTTTATTGTTGTTCTATTACAGTTGTCCCAATTTTTCACCGTTGCTCTCACCTACCCACTCTGCTTCCCCACCTTGTTGTCCATGTCCATGGGTCCTTTATACATGTTCCTTGACTAGACCCTTCCTGTTCTTTCCCTTAGCCTATATCTTTCTGACATCAAAGGTGTTCCCACTAATTCACACTGAAAATATAAATTGTGATCATTTGCTTGTTAAAACATCACAATATTGGGAAGTACTGCATTATCATAATACAATTATAGACTTGAATGGGCCCACTAGATCTTTAGAGTCATCTTGTTACTTGAATATATACAAAATGCGGACCCCACATGTACATGCCACTTAACTAAAACAGCCCCTAGATAATTGCTTCTAAACCACCTCTAACACACAATAATCATCACCCTTCTCTAGCACCTCTTCTCATTGCTATGCCATTACAGATTTATATGCACATAAATATTTTTTTCTGATCAATTTACTATATGCACCACATCTGGACTACATTCTGACTATTCTACCTAACTCTCCAATTCATATTGAAAGAACCCTCAGGTTCACAGAAAATAAACATGAACTGTTTCTTCAAACCATTGTAAACTAGGCACAGTGATGTCTATTTGGAGATCTGTCAAATGTGAAACAGGTGAGCCTATGGTGAATGTTCCCAAAACCGTGCAGGTGGAGGTCTCTCCTGTCCTACAGGGTTCCTGTAGGTACATTTCCAAGAGGTACCACTCTTCACTCCACCTTATGTGCCACTGAGACATGCACATCACAACACAATGGCATCGAGGGAACTTCAATCTGAGACTCCAGGTACTTTCTAAGACTGCTTACTACCCTTCCTAGGAAACTATTTATAAACATCAAACTCTGTAAATGTCAATGACTTCCCAGAAAACAAGGGGTAATACATGTAAAATAATGATAAAGCCCTTTGCAAACATCAGTCTCTGAAATGTAGGTTATATTCATTTTAGAAGCATCAGATAACATTCAGCAAAAAATAAAGTTGTTGGAGCAAGGAGGAAAATTATTGGTTTTTAAATGGAACTTTAACAAAGAATACAATCTAACTAAGAAATATCAGACTTTTTCCACACAGAAGTCTCAAAACATGGGGATATCCATGATTTGACCCTCTGCTCTGCTAACTCCAAATACAAGAGACCATAAATCAACAACCTAGATATGTCAGTGAACTGAAATATTGTTTAGTCTTTCAGAATTTAGTACCTCTCCTCACCCAGAGCCAGTTTTCCCATTGTTTCCTTGCAGTGTAATCATGGATCAAGCTACATCTGAGGTATGTTGTTATATTCTAAAAACTGTATCTTTAGAAAAACATAAGCCAATTGGAAACTGTTCTAAGTGTACAATAGAGAGAGAAATTTCTCTATACAAACTCCTGGATTTGAGTGTAAAGGGATTTTACTCTCCTGTGGATTCTTCTCTCCTTGTCACCACTGAACTGAGAGCTTCACAATATAGAGTGTGTCTGAACTCAAAGTTTTTTTAATAATAGTCCCAAATGGAAAAGCTTAGAAATCACTGAGTTGGAAAAAGCAGTTATTGCTGCACTCTTGTCTACCTCCTACAAAGGCTGTACCCTCTCCCCATTTCTGTTCAGCTCTTTATGGGTTCTCTGCCTCTGTGTCCCCCAGAGCACAGTAGTAAAAGGCAGCATCTGCCACCTGCACCTGGAGGATGAGCAGTGAAGAAGAGAATCGCTCATATGTCATGTTGTAGCGTCCCTGCTGAGAAGGCCTTGAGCCCTTTACTAAGAGTCTTGGTGCACATCCTGGGGAGTGAAGGTACCAGAAGAAGTCATAAGCAGTGGATATAGAGTGATTACAGGGGATTTCCACCACAGCTCCCTCGGAAGATACCACAGAGGAAGGCTGAAATACTTGGTCCTTGCTCTCTGCAACTACACAAAACAGATAAAGAAGGTTGTGAGTTTCATGCTGCTATTTGCTTGTCAATGGCCTTTTAAGTATAGTGAGTATTAATAAATCTGGCTTCTTTGTTTTTTTTAATTAGTCCAAAATTTAAAATAATGGCATGCACTTTTCCAAGACCAGACAGTGAAGGAGCCTACTTACCCATCCACAGAGAGCTGAGGAGGAGCCCCATCCACACCACTTCCAGGGTGCTCTGCAAAGCCACAGCCATACCACAGCTGGTCTCAGGCCTCACCTGAACATTTGGTGCTCACCAGCAAGCTGGTATAAAGCCTCCTGTTTTGCATTTTCTTCTTTGTGTCGATGACATCATCAGCCAGACTGTGTGAACTGCAGAAGAGTGACTATATTTGTCGGGCTGCTTAAGAGTGGCTTCAACTGTGCTTTGTCCTGAGCAACAGTCTTAAAAGGGAATGTAGCCTTTCAGAGGTCACCACAGTTGTGCATATTTAATCACTCAAGAAACTTGCTTCCTTCTCTAAAGGTGATGAAGGAAGTCACCCAACTGATAAAAGACTACTTCATCATTCACAGTAAAGTGATGTATTCACACAGAAAGTATACCGACTTGTCACATGTGACATGATGACATATCAGCATGTTAAAAATAATGATTATGAAATCTTACTAACTGATAGATGAAGGATGGACTTTTTAAGGCACAAAAATTACTATGTAAACATGTTCATCAAAACTTGCCTCCTTGCATTCAAAGTGGTCTGTGGAGTAAAAGTGGAAAGAAAATCTTATTTATAATTTTCCGTAACCAAAGGAACCTGGGTCAAGGAAGACACAAAAGCTGCATTTGGAGATGATTTCTTTTGGATGGTACCTATCCTCATTTTATAGCCTAAGACTGTCCCCTTTGTTATTAATGCAGGGCTCCGTACTTTTGCCTCTGGATTTTATTGTTTTATACAGGTTTTCTTGGTATTTTATTGGCAAAAGAAGAGTAAACAAGGTTTGTGACAATTCAAGGACTATACAGTAAGAAGTTTTTCATGTACACCACCACCTAGTGGACTACATGAGAACTGATGGAAAATCATTTCCCCAAGCAGCCTCTAAGTAGCTTCCCACAGCTTGAAGAGATTTCATTCCTTTGCTTTTGTTTAAACTCTCATTTCATTCCATTTCCATGGGATATTAAGCTTATCCACAGGAAATAGCTGTCTTCCTAAAAACCCTCTGGTTACCAAAACATGTTCTTCATTCATGTGAGTGGTCATTTAAACACATACTTCCATGGAATGAAATATTTCTTTCTCATCCTAAGACGGTTGTTTGATTCATTTCCTTTTCTTTTTCTTTTTTTTTTCCAAATAGTCTAACAAGCCTGGAGAAATTAGTTTCTTCCCTAATCTTTTCTCTTTTTTCACTGGGATATTCCCTAATTATGATATGATTGTTTAGGTCCAACAGAAAATTTATTTATATTTATAACCCCCAAAGCTTACAAAAAATACAAAACTCCAATATGGCTGTAAAGCTAGGATGAAAAAACTAAAGATAAGTGGGCATAGATTTCTTTAGTCAAAGGACTAATACAGAAATTGTGACTAAGTTGAGCTCTAAAATTTTTGACAACTGAAACATAAAAGGAAACACAAAGGAAATGCAATTATACAAGTAAGCTCATTAAGTGAGCAAGCAGCTTCTTCCTGAAACCAAGTTCTATATAGCTACAGGTAACTTAAAACTCTTTTTAGATTACTGGTTATGTGCTCTGATTCGAAGCTTCTACCTGTGCAAAATAGTTTAGCATTGCTTCCTCCACATTTACTTATGCAGCCCCCTAGTGGTGGACTCATAGGCCGAATCTAACCCCACCTGCACAGCAATGAACATAGTTTTCTATTTCTCCTTATTAAATATGTGAGAACTTCTTTGGGGTATGTATCCAGAAAGAATTGTCTAATCACAGTATATGTACATATTCAATTTTACTGATTAAACATTCAAACTAGTGATAGCCATTTACACTTCTACTGGCAGTGCACGAGCATTCCAGCCTCACCAAGCCTGGAAAACATTTATAATACAAAAATTATGAAACAGTCCAAATTTTACCAATATGCTGAGTGTAGAGTCTCATTTTAATTTGTATTATTCTGACTATTAGTGAAATTGAGCCATGTGTTTTCCTTTCCAACATTACCTATTCAACTGATGTGCCCAGCTAAGGGTGCCCTAACCTTTCATCTAGGGCTGACCTGGAATCTGTGAAGGAGAAAGTGAAAGCTAAGGCAAAGCTGTTAATGGCCAGGCTATATATTGGAGTGCCCAAGCCTGCACACAAAGCCCACTGGTAAAGGGCATGAATCCAATTGGTTCCAGGCTTAATCTCTGTTTAGTCATTAGCTGACTGCTAAGTTAATCAAGCAGAAATGCCCAGGGCCACATGAGAAAAATACAGACTTCACAAATTAATTCAGGAAAGTCACTAAACTAACTGACAGTAAACACAACAAAACACAGCAATAAAGAAAACCTCAAGGGGATGGAATAGGTGGTTTCCAAGGTTGCCATATTATATTATTTAAAATGTTTAGTTTTCAACCAAAAATATGATTACTACATGCAACAAAATGAGAAGACATGGTCCATATAGACAAAAAAAAAGCCAGTATGTAACCTTGAAGAGGTTACATATTTGACTTAATAAGCAAAGACTTTAAATCAGCTATTTTCAATATGTTCTAAGAACTAAAGTAAACTATATATAAAGAAATAAAAAATATAAGAGTTATATCACATCAAATAGAGAATACCAATAAAGAGATAGAAATTATTACCAAAATAACAAAAGAGTAATACACTTAAAAGGACTGAAATTATACAAATAATTTTCTCCTACCACAATGGAATGAAATTAGAAATCAATAAATGAAGAAAATTTGGGACAGTCACAAATATGTGGAAATCAACATAGTTCTAAATTAAATAATAAATCAAAAAAATTATGAGGAAAACTAGAGAATAATTTAAGAGGAATGAAAACAGAAACAATAAAATCTCACAAATAAACCTGTATGTTGCAGCTAAAAAACATATAGAGTGGAGTTTAGAGCTGTAAATATATATCTAATAAAAAGAGAAAAATCTCACATCAATAGCTTATTTTACATCATAAGAAACAAGAAAAAGAAGAGCACACTAAACTCAAAACAAAGATAAGGAAGGAAATAATGAAGATTAAAGTAGACATAAATAAAATACAGACTATGAAAAAATAGAGCATAAAAAATGAAGCCAAAATTGGTTCTTTAAAATTATCAACAAAAGTAGCATACTTTTAGCATATTGACCAAGAAAAAAGAGAGAACATTAAAATTATTAAAATCAGGAATGACAGCATTACTACAAACCTTACAGAATAAAAAGGACTTTTAAGGGAATATCATAACCAATTTTAGGGTTGATATTTTATTCTCTAATTAATTAAAATACCAATTAAAATTGATATTTTAAAAAGTAATTATAAATTAATATGATTCATCTTTTTCCTAACACAAGTCTTTCTTTTTATTATTGTACACATAAGTGTGTGCACAAGCCATGCTACACCATGATTACATATAAGATAACTATTTTCTTATATCACAGTATGTTGGAAAAAATCTTTATTATCTTGCCTTTATAATAAAGATATGTTGCATTTCATAGAGACTACATTTTTTATGCCAAATTCATTGTAATCTTGGTTCAAAAAATACATTAAAACTGGCACATAATCTATATTTAGCACATTAGAAAGTTTTACATGAACAGTATAGCTTCCCACATCCAGTTTCATGTTAAAAGGCAGCAGCATAAACTTCACCAGCAGATGGGAGAAGTATATCAACATTACCTGTTCTTCTCCTCCAGAACCATGAAGACTCATTTAGAAATGTTAAAGGTGACAGTGAAGTATGACTTATGTTTTATTAACAGACATATAAGAGAATGAATTTAACAAAATATTAATAAGTGGGATGAATCAAAAAGGTATAACTACCATAAATGATTCAAGAAGAAACAGAAAATCTGGAAAAGAAACTCTGTAGCAAATAAAAAGATTAAATTAGTAATTTTAAAAGTATCTCACAAGCAATCCAATGTGGTAGCAGAGTAGGTGGAACTTACATTCATCTCCTCCCAGGACCAAATCAGAATTATAATTAAACTATAGAACAATCTACCTGAATAAACAACTGAGGACTAGGTGAACAGAAGGACATAGAGTAGAAGTCAGGTTGAGGCCAGTAGGAAGGGTGGAGATGTGAAAAGGGTGGCCCCACACCCCCATGTGGCAGTTGAGAACTAAGAGGGATATGTCAGCTGCAAAGATGCCCCTGAAGAGTGAGGGGTCTCAACCCCATGTGGGGACCCCTGCCTGGAGCACCAGAGCCAGGAAGAGGAGCCCACCTAACATCTGGTTATATAAATCAGCAGGGATTCCATCCACCAGGGAGACACAGCAGTTTGCTAGAAACTGAGGCAGCCTCTTCAAAGGTCAGTGCACAAAATCTCATTTGTAGGCAATCACCATGGGCTCCAGCAGAGAGTTGGTGGGTCAGAGCAAATGGCAGTCATACAAGGAAAGATTAGGTTGTGTGGCTTTGGGGACGAGGCTAAAGGCATAACCACCATTTTCCCTGTGCTCAGCCCCTCTCCTACACCACCCACAGACACCATCTTTTCTGGGCCAAGCACTACCTTCCATACTGGCCTGGAGATATTCACTGTCCTCCCCCTCCTGACTTTCTGTGGTGTGCCATGCCAAGAAAAGATGCTCAATATCACTAATCATCAGAGAGATGTAAATTAAAACCACAATAAGATATCACCTCACACTCATCATTTCATGGTGAACGGTTATCATCAATAAGTCAACAAACAACAAGTGTTGGCGAGGGTGTGAAGAAAAGGGAACCTTCAAGCACTGTTGGTAGAAATGCAGATTGGTGTGGCCACTGTAGAAAACAGTATGGAGATACCTCAAACAATTAAAATGGAACTGCTTTATGACCCAGCTATTCCACACCTAAGTGTATGTTCTAAGAAACCCAAAACACTAATTTGAAAGAATATATTTCCCATATGTTCATTGCAGCATTCTTTACATAAGCCAAGAAATGGAGCGACCTAAGTGTGTCTCAATAGAGAGTAGATAAAAAAGCTGTGATACATATATATCATGGAATATTACTTAGGGATAAAAAGGAATGAAACGCTACA